GACTCCACTGATAAAAGCAGATCTTGATTTGAAATTTTCCTCAGCATGTCTTTATGACTAGTTTAATTTAATTCAGCCCATTTGGGCGTTGTGCATGACAGAATCTTTAACGCCCGGCCTGTTCCACTTAGTAGACTGTAAATGACTGGACCGGGGTCGTGTGAGTCCCATATGGTCTAGCGGTTAGGATTCCTGGTTCTCACCCAGGCGGCCAGGGTTCAACTCCCGGTATGGGAATGGACATTTAGCCAGCATGGATTAGTAGAGAGATCAGTGTGCACCGTGTTTGTGCTCCTCAAGAAAAGATGTGCGTGTGCTGCGTTCTCAGCGTTGGTGTTTGCAATAACAGACACCTGAATGTTTCTGTCTGAGTCCACTTCATCTCAAACAACCATGGCCGACCACTTCCACATCGAGTCCCAGTAGGATTTCTTGTTTTGACCCAGACGGCCTCGGTTCAACTCCCAGTCAAGAAATAGACATTTAGCCAGATTTGTCGAGAGATCAGTCTGACCCAATCCCCCTTTTTCCACTGGATGGTACCAGCTCGACTTACCTTTGCTGGTTTTCTGTTGGGCAAATAAGGTACCCGGGACTTTTTTTGGTATGACCTCTTTCGAGGTTCTCAGCTCAGCACGTGAGTCCCATATGGTCTAGCGGTTAGGATTCCTGGTTTTAGATGGTACCCACTCTACTCCCCTTGTTTGGTTTTCCAGTAGGCAAATCTGGTGCCTGGTACGTTTTTTGGTATGACCTCCGTCGAGGTTCCCAGCGAGCTGAGGTAATACCAAAAGGTGAGATTAAAACACTACAGACTGCTGATTGGTCAGAGAGAATCGACAACAAATCCGTTTGGAAGTAACCTAGTAACCTAGTAATCCACTGGATGGTACCAGCTCGACTTACCTTTGCTGGTTTTCTGTTGGGCAAATAAGGTATCCGGGACTTTTTTGGTATGACCTCTTTCGAGGTTCTATGCTCAGCAAGTGAGTCCCATATGGTCTAGCGGTTAGGATTTCTGGTTTTAGATGGTACCCACTCTACTCCCCTTGTTTGGTTTTCCAGTAGGCAAATCTGGTGCCTGATACGTTTTTTGGTATGACCTCCGTCGAGGTTCCCAGCGAGCTGAGGTAATACCAAAAGGTGAGATTAAAACACTGCAGACTGCTGATTGGTCAGAGAGAATCGACAACAAATCCGTTTGGAAGTAACCTAGCTAGCAGCTGGTGTGCAGCTAGCCTTGCGGTGTTCACAGCTGAGCTGCTGCTAACGTTAGCTCAGTTTGTTTTTACTTTAGTTCGTTAACGACTCCACTGATAAAAGCAGATCTTGATTTGAAATTTTCCTCAGCATGTCTTTATGACTAGTTTAATTTAATTCAGCCCATTTGGGCGTTGTGCATGACAGAATCTTTAACGCCCGGCCTGTTCCACTTAGTAGACTGTAAATGACTGGGCCGCGGTCGTGTGAGTCCCATATGGTCTAGCGGTTAGGATTCCTGGTTTTCACCCAGGCGGCCCGGGTTCAACTCCCGGTATGGGAATGGACATTTAGCCAGCATGGATTAGTAGAGAGATCAGTGTGCACCGTGTTTGTGCTCCTCAAGAAAAGATGTGTGTGTGCTGCATTCTCAGCGTTGGTGTTTGCAATAACAGACACCTGAATGTTTCTGTCTGAGTCCACTTCATCTCAAACAACCATGGCCGACCACTTCCACATCGAGTCCCAGTAGGATTTCTTGTTTTGACCCAGACGGCCTCGGTTCAACTCCCAGTCAAGAAATAGACATTTAGCCAGATTTGTCGAGAGATCAGTCTGACCCAATCCCCCTTTTTCCACTGGATGGTACCAGCTCGACTTACCTTTGCTGGTTTTCTGTTGGGCAAATCAGGTATCCGGGACTTTTTTGGTATGACCTCTTTCGAGGTTCTCAGCTCAGCACGTGAGTCCCATATGGTCTAGCGGTTAGGATTCCTGGTTTTAGATGGTACCCACTCTACTCCCCTTTTTTGGTTTTCCAGTAGGCAAATCTGGTGCCTGGTACGTTTTTTGGTATGACCTCCGTCGAGGTTCCCAGCGAGCTGAGGTAATACCAAAAGGTGAGATTAAAACACTACAGACTGCTGATTGGTCAGAGAGAATCGACAACAAATCCGTTTGGAAGTAACCTAGTAACCTAGTAATCCACTGGATGGTACCAGCTCGACTTACCTTTGCTGGTTTTCTGTTGGGCAAATAAGGTATCCGGGACTTTTTTTGGTATGACCTCTTTCGAGGTTCTCAGCTCAGCAAGTGAGTCCCATATGGTCTAGCGGTTAGGATTTCTGGTTTTAGATGGTACCCACTCTACTCCCCTTTTTTGGTTTTCCAGTAGGCAAATCTGGTGCCTGGTACGTTTTTTGGTATGACCTCCGTCGAGGTTCCCAGCGAGCTGAGGTAATACCAAAAGGTGAGATTAAAACACTACAGACTGCTGATTGGTCAGAGAGAATCGACAACAAATCCGTTTGGAAGTAACCTAGCTAGCAGCTGGTGTGCAGCTAGCCTTGCGGTGTTCACAGCTGAGCTGCTGCTAACGTTAGCTCAGTTTGTTTTTACTTTAGTTCGTTAACGACTCCACTGATAAAAGCAGATCTTGATTTGAAATTTTCCTCAGCATGTCTTTATGACTAGTTTAATTTAATTCAGCCCATTTGGGCGTTGTGCATGACAGAATCTTTAACGCCCGGCCTGTTCCACTTAGTAGACTGTAAATGACTGGACCGGGGTCGTGTGAGTCCCATATGGTCTAGCGGTTAGGATTCCTGGTTCTCACCCAGGCGGCCCGGGTTCAACTCCCGGTATGGGAATGGACATTTAGCCAGCATGGATTAGTAGAGAGATCAGTGTGCACCGTGTTTGTGCTCCTCAAGAAAAGATGTGCGTGTGCTGCGTTCTCAGCGTTGGTGTTTGCAATAACAGACACCTGAATGTTTCTGTCTGAGTCCACTTCATCTCAAACAACCATGGCCGACCACTTCCACATCGAGTCCCAGTAGGATTTCTTGTTTTGACCCAGACGGCCTCGGTTCAACTCCCAGTCAAGAAATAGACATTTAGCCAGATTTGTCGAGAGATCAGTCTGACCCAATCCCCCTTTTTCCACTGGATGGTACCAGCTCGACTCACCTTTGCTGGTTTTCTGTTGGGCAAATCAGGTACCCGGGACTTTTTTTGGTATGACCTCTTTCGAGGTTGTCACCTCGGCACGTGAGTCCCATATGGTCTAGCGGTTAGGATTTCTGGTTTTCACCCAGGTGGCCCGGGTTCAACTCCCGGTATGGGAAAAGATATTTAGCCAGCATGGACTTGTAAAGCGATCAGTCTCATCCAATACCCCATTAGACGGTACCCACTCTACTCCCCTTTTTTGGTTTTCTAGTAGGCAAATCTGGTGCCTGGTACGTTTTTTGGTATGACCTCCGTCGAGGTTCCCAGCGAGCTGAGGTAATACCAAAAGGTGAGATTAAAACACTACAGACTGCTGATTGGTCAGAGAGAATCGACAACAAATCCGTTTGGAAGTAACCTAGCTAGCAGCTGGTGTGCAGCTAGCCTTGCGGTGTTCACAGCTGAGCTGCTGCTAACGTTAGCTCAGTTTGTTTTTACTTTAGTTCGTTAACGACTCCACTGATAAAAGCAGATCTTGATTTGAAATTTTCCTCAGCATGTCTTTATGACTCGTTTAATTTAATTCAGCCCATTTGGGCGTTGTGCATGACAGAATCTTTAACGCCCGGCCTGTTCCACTTAGTAGACTGTAAATGACTGGACCGGGGTCGTGTGAGTCCCATATGGTCTAGCGGTTAGGATTCCTGGTTTTCACCCAGGCGGCCCGGGTTCAACTCCCGGTATGGGAATGGACATTTAGCCAGCATGGATTAGTAGAGAGATCAGTGTGCGCCGTGTTTGTGCTCCTCAAGAAAAGATGTGTATGTGCTGCGTTCTCAGCGTTGGTGTTTGCAATAACAGACACCTGAATGTTTCTGTCTGAGTCCACTTCATCTCAAACAACCATGGCCGACCACTTCCACATCGAGTCCCAGTAGGATTTCTTGTTTTGACCCAGACGGCCTCGGTTCAACTCCCAGTCAAGAAATAGACATTTAGCCAGATTTGTCGAGAGATCAGTCTGATCCAATCCCCCTTTTTCCACTGGATGGTACCAGCTCGACTCACCTTTGCTGGTTTTCTGTTGGGCAAATCAGGTACCCGGGACTTTTTTTGGTATGACCTCTTTCGAGGTTCTCAGCTCAGCACGTGAGTCCCATATGGTCTAGCGGTTAGGATTCCTGGTTTTAGATGGTACCCACTCTACTCCCCTTTTTTGGTTTTCCAGTAGGCAAATCTGGTGCCTGGTACGTTTTTTGGTATGACCTCCGTCGAGGTTCCCAGCGAGCTGAGGTAATACCAAAAGGTTGGGCATTTAGCCAGCATAGATTTTTTGAGAGATCAGCTTATTTGTGCTACTCAAGACTGATTATGCAGTGTATCACCTGAAAAGGTGCATAGGTTTGTTTTGCAGCTACAAGTTCTTTTGCATGAAATAACATTGAACATTTGCATCTAAAACAACCATGGCCGAGCAGTTCAATGAAGCTCTACCAGAACATGTCCCCATCCAGGATGTACTGGGGAGAACCGTATGCAGATGCATATTTACACTCTGCATCTCTGTTTACTTAAACATCAATGCTGTCTGGATGATTTGCAGTTGGGTTACAGGAAAGGTACAGGAGATCAGACTGATCTCAGTGGTTCCATCGCAACGAGCTGATTTGTGCTGGTGTGTCTGGACCCGTATTGTTTTTCTGGAGGACTCTTCAGTGAGTGAAAGGTAGTGCTGATGTTGTGATCAAGTTAAGGAAGTGTAACTCTTGTAAAGGCCTTAGTCATCCGAGGCACTTGTGGATATCGGCTTGTTCAACACAGTAAGCAATGACTGCCATCTTCTTTTGTAGGTTCACATGGGAACTCACATGTGGAACAGCGCCCCCAGTAGGAGAGGCCGCAGACTGTCTGTGGACAGATCATCGCTGGGATCCGGGACTCGTCCTGTTAAACTTCCTGAACCGCCACAGAAGAATCTGGCCATGGTTTCCAACGCCAGAGAGTCTGTTCACAGCTGGAACCAGAGTCCAGAGCTTTTCCAAGCAGGTGTGAAGATGAATGATGTTTGTGTGACTCAGAGTGGACAGGTAGGACTGAGGGAGAAGGTTTGTCTGTGGAACCTTCACCTTACAGACCACAATGACCCTTCTGCACTTTAAAAAGACACTCGCTGCTGATTCACTGATACCATGTTACTGGTTTCTTACAGTTTTGCTGTTTGAATGCACAGCTGACGTACATGTACCATATCTCAATAAAGATGTTATCATCTTTAAACTTGCTGTTGACTCTGTCAGTCTACAAGCCTTGTTTGTTCTTAAGTCTTCGCTTCCTACAGCTTCTGGTGGTCATTTTCTGTTCTGTCTCTTTGGGTTCCTCTGGTTCTTTTACTGCTCCACATAATAATAATTATAATAATAATAATAAAAACACATTTTATTTATAGGCGCCTTTCTGAACACTCAAGGTCACCTCACAAAACATAATAAAACAGTAGAGCAATAAATCAATAAAATTAACAACTACAATTACAGTGCATAAAATCAGGGTACAAAACAACTGGAAACAAAGATTGAGAGATCACGTGGGATATGCCAGTTTAAAAAGATGTGTTTTCAGGCGGTATTTAAAAATGGAAAGCGAGTCAGCGTTGCGGATGTCTGGTGGAAGAGAGCTCCAGAGATGAGGGGCAGAGCGGCTGAATGCACCGAACCCCATGGTGGTCAGGCGAGCAGGGGATACAGTGAGGTGAGTAGAAGAAGAAGACCTAAGAGTACGGGTGGGTGTGTTAATATGAAGGACGTCACTGAGGTACAGAGGAGCGAGGTAATGAATGGTCTTGAAATCAATGCAGTATTTAACTGGGAGCCAATGAAGCTGCTGAAGGACAGGAGTAATGATTAATAGAAGGGGTTATGGTGATGATACAGGCAGCAGAGTTCTGAACCAGTTGAAATTTAATTATGAATTTGAGAGGAAGACCAACAAGAAGAGAATTACAATAATCAATGCGGGATGTGACCAGTGTGTGAACGAGAATGGCTGTACTAGTGGGTGAGAGAGACGGTTGGAGGCGATTAATGTTACGTAAATGGAAGTGACATTAATGTGAGCTTGAAATGAAAGTGTGCTGTTGAGGATCACACACAGACTCTTGACTCTTGAGTTATCAATGGTAAGAGAAAAACTGTCAGATTTGCCAGAAAGTGGATTTGGTGCCAATGAGAAGAACCTCAGTCACTGTTAAGTTTGAGGAAGTTGCAAGAGAACCAGGATTTGATTTCCGTTAGGCAATCTGAGAGGGAAGTGGGTGGGAGGGGTGTGGTAGGTTTGGTGGACATGTAGAGCTGGGTGTCATCTGCATAGCAGTGGAACTGGATGTTACATTTACGAAAGATATGGCCAAGAAGCAGATAGATGATGAACAGAAGGGGTCCCAGGACAGAGCCCTGGGGACCACCGGTAGTGACAGGGGATAGCTCTGATTTGAAATGTTTGAGCTGGATGAACTGAGTGTGGCCAGAGAGATCGGATTTAAACCAGTGCAAGGGTGTGTCAATGAAACCAATAGATATCATTCACCAGTTATCGCTATTAATTTGTTACAGAGCACTGTTTTTCATTCACACTGTAGTATTGCATGAAAGCTTTTTGAATTATCAGAGGCGGAAACTACATTACATTAATGCATTTAGCTGACGCTTTTATCCAAAGCGACTTACAATTCCTTTATATGTCAGAGGTCGCTCGTCTTCTGGAGCAACTAGGGGTTAAGCGTCTTGCTCAGGGACACAACGGTGGATGGGTCACAGAGGGCAATTAAACCCGGGTCTCTCACACCAAAGGCATGTGTGTTATCCAGTGCGCCATCACCCAACCCTAAACTGGCAACTAAAGGCTTGCTCACACTGGGAGTCGAACCCAGACTGGCTGGGTCAAATCCCAGACGTCTGACCACGAGACGCTATGGGATCCATCAGTATCAGTAATATACTTTAGTGCAGTAAAAATCTACTTTAGCTTCAACATCCTTTTATTTTAGTCAGACATTTGTGTCACACAGAAATGCCGTTTCTAAGCATAGACTGATCTGTAATGTTTGTGTTTTGAGGCTACATCCACATTAGTACGTTTAAAAACAGGGTTCTAAAATGAATACGATCTCTCTCCACTCCGTCGTTTCAGCTGCGTATCAGAACTGATCTCTTTCTATATTAAAACGACTGAAAACACACATCACATGACCGTTCAATTCCACTGAGCATGTGCATGCTGGTGTAAACAGATTGTCTCCTCAACAGCTAAAGAACAAAGCTCTACTAGAGACGAGCGAAGAACCACAGCAGAGATTTCTCTGCACAGAGCGACAGCGAGGTGGAACTGTTACTGATGAGCATGCCAACAATGGTCATTCAGATTTGACCTCGGGAACCTTGAACCGCCAATCTTGCAATTAACCGGGAACCCACGCTACCTCCTGAGCCACAGTCGCTTTGGGAATGGTTTATTTGCACAATAAGAAAACATGCAGTTAAAATATAGAAGAAACAAATGTGCATTGTCCGAAAAAGATCCTCAAGCTTTAAAAACAAGCTGCTGATTACTGCATTATATTCTGTTATGTTTTTATATTTTGAATCGTCACCTGCCACCTGAAGTTTGTGTTTCCCTTTATATAAATAAAGACATTTCCACCATATAGTGGTGCAGAAAATGTCTCCAGAATGCAGGAGATTAAGTGGTTAATGCTCAAATATCTTCTGGGGGAGGACCCCAAGACCCCACGACCATAGATTTTAGCATTAAATATTTGCCCTGATGTCGCCACCACTTTAAAACAAAGCGACGTCACCTTGATAATGACCCCACAGAGGTTAAACAGCTGAAACTGAAGAAGCCTCTCAGATGAGAGACGAAATGCCTCAGATTACCTTCAACCTTCAAGTCCAGCTGCCCTTTATTTGACCCTGTCTTTCATAATGTTTGTTTTGTATCAGGACACAGTGATAAAAAGGCTGGATATGAATGTACCCACTGCTCCAAAAACTAGAAACATGATGTCAGGATTCAGTTTTTCTTGCAGCAGAATCTGGACGTTAGACTTCATGTTTTCAGAAATGCTGGTGAGAGATTGAGTTCCAGAAGCTGGTGGAACACAGGAAGTTGCTCTCCATGCTGTAGGATATTAATATATGCTACCTACTCTATGTTAAGATAAATGCCTGACATCAGCCTGTCCTGCCCAGCTGATGTTGTGTTTGTATGTGACAGCTGAAGCCTCGGCCCTCTAACGCCACAGTCAGACTGATGAGTGTTCAGCTTCCACAAAGAGACCTAAAGCCTGAAACAAAACCTGCACAAAGCCTCTGAAAGATGGATATCTCCATCAGACAGACATGAATCACTGCTGCGGCACACAAAAATGCATCCAGCAACGACCAAGTTACAGGATCGCAGCTGACTGACAAAAACACTGCAGAGACTCTGTTTATCTCTGAGCTGAGCAAAGGCTCAAAGTCCTCTTTACTTTATATCACATGTCTGCAGCTGGGGACACAGACAGGAAGTCAGACGAGCTAACACCCAGTCAGATTAACATGCATATCACAACACATAAAACAGAGGGGCGTCTCTCTGCTGCGTGCTTCAAAAAGAAAAACTCGTCGCGCTCTCCAAACAAAGGAACTTTTCTAATGTTGCATATTTCACATCAAAACTGCCGGCTCAGCGTGATGTTTGCAAGAAGGCATTTCCTTTGTGAGCGTTTCAGCAGCGGTCGCAGCACTTTTGTTGCTCAGACAATGGAAATATTCAATAACAAGAAGACCTGCCAGATCTGCCCCCCACCCCCGCCCCATGATATGGGATCATCACTGATCATACAGCAGAGCCGCTCGCTCACAGCAGCTTCAGCTCTGCTCTTAATAGTGAAGCTTAGTGCGTTTACCTTCCAGGATGGGTAGGTAACTGAAGGATAAAATACTGTTTTAATGTTGAGACTCTGGGTCCGCTGGCTGCGAGTGGGACAGCAGATTATTTAAAACGTGTTGCTACAGGTGACAGAAGCCCAGTAGCTCCAGCTGTGCCTCTGCCTGTTGCTCCACATGTTTTACAGTGTTGGAGCTCTAGGTGAGATTTGAAATTTGCTGCTTCTAATTTAATAAAATCCCTAATGAGTCGGTCCACATGCTTAATCTTCCCTTCTTTGGGGAAAGAACCTCTTTTAATAGGCCTACTTTGGACCTTTTCACCTCAGTGATAAATTAATTAATTTTAATGCAGTTATAAACTCCTGTACTTTAATAGCTCCTGTGTTTCAGCCGGTTTTCTGCACGTTCAGAATCTCTCCCACAGATCTGTGTTCTCTGACAGGCCCAGAATAAAGTCATATTATGACTAACTTCATCATTGAATGACAATTCACAATATATCTAATTCCACCTTATCTGTACTCTGCTGTGCATTACGTTATTTATCCGCTGGTATATAGCCTGTCCCCTGTAGACCGTTAGACCGACACAGTTTGGGACAGCATGCTGCATGTGGAACCAAAACCAACCAAAAACACTGCTGATCAGACAGAAATCTCACGTTCACTTCAGCAGCTCACAGTCCGAAACAGAACAAGGCTGCGCTTCAGTTTTAAGATGTTTATATTGCAAAACTTCACCAGTTACATTTCTGTTTGGACTCACAGCGCAACGTGCACATTTTGCCCCCTAGGCGACCACCTACATCAGTTTGTCTCTTGGCTGCTCGCCCTCTCACAGCTGTTCATCGCTCCAGGAGTCGGACTGAACAAAGAGTTTCCAGGTAAAGAACTAATACAGTTTTAATGCTGATGAAGGGGACTGCAAAGGGAGGTGGCCACCGGGCTTTCAAAATGCTGCATAGCTGGTCGTCCAATGTGTTTTTCAGGTGTGGTTTGTTACATGGAGCCCACATGTGGGGCCACTCCTGCTCTGCACAGAATGAACCTGGTGTTTGTGACTTCACTTCCTCTCAGTAGACTTCAGCAGTTTGCTGCTTTACTGAAGTGAATATGATCACCTGTGACCTGTAAAAGGAACATGCAGATCTCTGTTATGGACACTACAGACTTCACCCGAGGCAGGGAAACTCCTGAATGCATCACCTGTCTTTCTGAAAGTAATGAGTGTTGTAAACAGGCTCAGGGTTGGTGAACGCTGGAAAAGATTCACTCTCCATCCAACAGGTTCTTATTTTCTGTCCTCATCTCCCTGACAGCTTCTGTGTCTACAAACCTGAATGCAACCCAGAAAGTATACAGGGACAGAAGATGTCAAGTCACAAGGAAGGAGAAACAACTTGTTAGCCCTGGGTTTTACCTCTCAGGTTGTTGGGGCTATCCTGCAGACGCTACTCAAAACATTTCATCTGTGTTTCTGTTTACAGTGAACGCTGCAGAGGTTAACGTTGGAGAAATGGAGCTTTCATGTGTTTCCTGCAGGTCGATGTGTTTGTGTTTGTCTGTTAACCCTTTCACGGCTGAGTCTCATCAGCTTCCACCAGCTGCCCGTTCCCTTTTCCAGAGTCTGACAGCGAAGATTAGATAAAGTTTCCAAATATCGTGGTTTTGGGTTTTATTAGTTGGGTTGTATCAGTGACCCTGTATCACTCTCTGCCTCTGTGTGCTCATCCTTTAGTTTTTGTTGCATTACGTTCGTCCTTGTGTCTTGTTGGTAGCTTTACTTCCTGTTTTATTTTGTGATCATCTGTGTCTGGTGTTTTTGTCAACATTAGGAAGTGTAACCTACAACACTGACTGACTTGACGGTTACCAGCTGATGTAGCTAGAGGGGTCCACAGTTAACCAGTAACGTAGTTAACGTGCTGATGTTCTGTTTGAAAGACGTCCACAGACTGACCGTTGTTTCAGAAACACACATCGTGTGGAGAGAAAGTAGAAGCTGCCACTGTGACTCCCGTGTTATTAATCTGAAACATGTGAGTCAGATTCATCAGCAGATAATATCCACCTGCTTTAGCTCAGTATTTTTACACAAGCCCCCTTTAATCAGAGTTTTATTTCCTTTATTTCATCAGGTGACAGCCAATCAGATTAGAAGAGAAACCAGCAGCATGTTGGAGGAGATCAATTTCACTTCACGTCAGTTTCAGTTCCTCCTTTGTTTTTAACAGGACGCTGAAGTCTCTCTCTGGAAGCTGTTGCAAGAAGACGCCCTGGGGAAACGTGAGTCAGAGCTGGACAGAGGAGAGAGAGAGAGAGAGACCGTGTCCTTTCAGTTCAGGTCCGGCCCGTCTGCAGATCCTCTGATGAGGAAATGAACAACTTCCTGTGAATGTGTCTCCATCCAGAGGAGCAGAGAGGAAGTGTCCCTGAAGGCAACACGCCTGTGCGTGCTTCATGTGGCGTGGGAGGAGTGACAGCCCTGAGAGGGTGCAGGAGAGAAGACGCAGTCAGCAGGTCGACGTGTTCAGGGCCGGTCTCCAGCTGCAGAACCAGGCAGGATCACAGGTAGGTGACCCGTTTAAACAGCTTCTGCTCACGCTCAGCCTGAACTCCTTCACTTCCTGTATGAGCGAGCAGCTTCCTGTCAGAACAGACACGTTATGTGAGAACTTCTGACTTCACTACGAGTATCTGACACATGCAGTACTTTAATACTATACTTGCATTTTAAAGATACTTCCTATAATCTACCCAGTATTAAAGGAAGTATCTGCACTGTTTCTACATAGTATTTGTTATCTGCCATTCTGCAGAGTGAGTACTGCTGATACTTTAAGTACTTTTACTGAAGTGACATTGTGAATTTTTACTTGTACTGAAGTATTTTTAGACTGTGGTGCAGTACTTTTACTTCACTAAAGTGAGTACTTCCTCCACTGGGAGAGGTTTTATTACAGCTGAACATGTTAAAGAAGTGTCTGCTTGGTGTTTTCCATGTCGCGGATCAGCTGTTTGGTGGCAGCAGGACCAGAGAGGGACGCCGTAGACCCGGCTGAGACGGACCTGATGGCTCGAGCTCCAGGTTCTGACTCATTATCATAAACCTGTTGGCTGATAGTTAGAGCAGCGGTTCACCCTTCGCACTGTGTCACAGGCTGACAGGTGTGAGTTCTAACATGCTCGTGATGTGTTCGGCGTGTGCGTGCAGGTGACCCCCCCAGTGGTTCCAGTCTGACCACCAAGGAGCTGCAGCAGAACTGGAGGGCCTTGAAGCAGGGCGAGCGACCCGTCCGGCTGCTGTTTGAGATCCCGTCCACTCGGATCGTCGAACACGCTCCGTCCAAACACGTGGTGAGGTCACCGTGGTTGCTGTCGACTCTTCCTGTGTTTATTTTGAAAGCGTCCTTCCTCGTGTGTCTTGTGTAACGCTGCTTCCTGTCCCCGTGCGCCCGGTGAACTGTGCTCCACCTGTGTCCCTCATCATCCTCCCCTTCCTCCTGGATATTCAGTCGTAGGCGAGGGTTTTAACAGCACCAATTCCACCAAATAGAGATAAGAGAGGAGTCGTGTGATCATTTCAGTATTTACCTCCTTCCTCCCCGATCAGGCACAGTGGTTATCACGAAACAGGCAAATTCAGATAAAGAGAGAAAAAACTGATTTTGAGGTCAGAAAGTAAATTTTTTGACCAAGACTATATTTTGTTTATTGTCTAAACTCTTGGCAGATAAAAGTTTTTGACTTGTAACAGATTGAAATGTAGTTTCTTAGGCAGCATGTGATGCATTTTTTTCTTTTTCTATTTCAAAGCCCTAAGTTAAAACAGCGAACTAAACTCTGGCTGACAGGGGTGGGGTGGGTTGTAACACTTTTTTAAAAAGTGTCAACAGTGTTGGGCAAGCTACACGGAAAATGTAGTGAGCTAAGCTACTAGTTACTCTACATTAGATGAAGCTTCACTACACAGACGCTACCCCAAAGTGAAATGTTGCAAGCTAAGCTACCGCAATGTGGCAAAAGTAGCTTAGTTACATCTAAACAACAGCTAAATCAGACACACACAAACTCTCCTACTTCCAGCCATATCATTACAGCTAAATGTATTTCCTCATGCAACAAAAGGAGAAGAACCATTGTTATTTGTATAAAGAAACTTAATTATCACAATCTTAATTTATTTTATATATTTTTTGTTGTTTATATATGTGAATTTGTGCTCTGGCAAGAAAGAGAGAAAGAGAGAGAGAGAGAGAGAGAGAGAGATCTCATCTCATTGAAACAACTTTCTGCCACTACATATCAGTTTCCTCCTCAGGAAGAGGTGTCAAGGCTGGAGCCTGACCGTCCCCCCCAGCCTGCACTCAGGGTTACCAGCATTCATTTGTCAGCAGTGTGACCAGTATTCCCCATTCACATGTAGTTCACATGTTGGCGTGTGAATCGGGACTCCATCTTCTCTGTACTCCGTCTCCGCCGGCAGAGAAGCCTACAGGCAGCAAAAAAAGTCCCGGGACGCCAAAGAGTAAAATATAGAAGTGCTTGTACTGCGTCCCGGTGAGGACTGGCTCACTTCAAGACTGTGACTCTGATTAAGAATATACAGACACACAGCTCCTTCTGTTAGACCTAAGGATGCACACAGATGTTTGTTAGTTAGGTACATACTTGTAGTATTTATTAAGTGTACTGTTAAGTAAGTTTTTCTATAGATAAATTTACATACACAGATTGTACATGCGCAGGAGTCATCAGACAAAGTCTGTTCCAGTGAGAGAGAAACAAACAAACTTTTATATCACTACCTGTTTTTGACGCCTATTATCTATTGTGCCATCTGTTTCTGCTTCTTTTGTCTTATTGTTCCAACCTACCCCGGTATCAGGCCACGTTGTGACAAAGGGAACACATTGTATTTGACATCACCTCACGAGGTCTGTGGTATTCTTGTAGAGGACTGAATTGGTGCCATTTGTAGTGAACAGATGTGGGTACTTTGTATACAAATTTGAGAACTCTAGCTATAAAATTCAGTGAGTTATAGTTGCTGAAGCAAAAAGTGTTAAAACCACACCCGGTCTCCTCTACAGCTAAAGGTAGTACTTTTTACTGCGTCAATCTGACAGCTGCAGGTGTTTACAGACAAAGCATGAGTGTAAATTAATTTCCCAACAGTTTATACAAGAACAACTGCTTCTCCTCTGATGGCTGTAATAACTGTGATGTCTGTTAGTAACGTTGATCTTTGGACTGCTGGTTCTGAAGGCGTCTCTTTGGACTCTGAGTGACCGCAGAATCAATCGATGGAGGAAATAATCAGTAATGATCAGCTGCAGTCTGAAACTAACAGTTCAGAATGAGCTGCAGCTCAACATCCTGCTGCACATGAAAGATTACAACAGTTTACTGCTTTAATACTTCATTACTGATTATACTCGTACCTTTACTGCAGTAACATCACACCTTCAGCGATTCAGGCCCATCTGTTGAACTCTAATCTGGATTAGCTGGAGAACACAGAGAATAAAGAGAACAAAAGACAGGTTGCTGATTCTTTTCATGTCTGTGTCAGAGCGTTGGATTTATTGATCGGGATGTAAAGAGATGTTTCTGAAACAAACTGCACAGGTTTGTATAAGGGATGGATAATATTTAGTGAATCATCTTCTTCCTCTGAGTCACATGTTCAGACGCTACAGCAGCTTAGCTTAGCATAAAGACTGGAAACAGGGGGAAACAGCTAGCCTGGCTCTGACAAAGGGAACAGTTTCCTCTGACGCTGACGTCACACCTGGTTTTGAGATGACCTCGGTTCTCTCGTCTGCTCTGCGACGTGAAGAACTCGCAGCTTATCTAAACGTCAGTTTTGATTTCAGAACCTCGTCCCCTCTTTAAAGATCGACCTGATAAAACCTGACGCTTCCTGACTCACCTGCTTCCTGTTTGTTTCAGGTGTACGAGATCGTGGTGATGCGTTCTGGCAGCTTTGATTCCCGCCATGTGTCGGTGGAGCGCCGCTACAGTGAATTTTCCCGCTTCCACCATCAGCTGCTGGGGGAGTTCAGGGAGGAGCTGGAGGAGGTAGTTCTGCCCCGGAAACACCTGACCAGGAATTTCAGCCCCGAGGTCATCTCCGAGCGCCGCCTCGCTTTGCAGGACTACTTGGCCAAACTGTACGCCATCCGCTGCATCCGGCAGTCTCCCCTTTTTTCCGGGTTCTTCACGGAGCCAGAGCAGAGGCGAGGACATGGTCTGCTGCGAGCGGGACAGTTTCAGCTGGCCGTGGAGCAGCTGCAGACCGTTTTGGACATCCAGGAGAAGCTCTTACCGTGGCAGAAGCCCACCCTGACCGTACCGACCCTTGCCGCCCTCGCCGTCTGCTACCGGGACCTGGAGGACCCAGAACAGGCGTTTGCCGCCGCTCAGAGCGCTCTGCCTGCGGTGAGACGCTACGGGCTGAAACACTACAGAGCCGCGCTGCTGGACCTGATGGTGGACACGGGATACCAGCTGGGCCGACCCGTGGCCCAGCTGCAGGACGAGCTGACCATCCTGAGGGACGCCGAGAGGGGGGAGGTGTCCTCCCGCTCTCTGAAGGAGCTGGTGGTCCAGGAGTTCGTCTGAGGACTGAGGAGGTGATCAATACACAAACTAGAGGCGCCGTTACTCTGATCGGCTGATCGTTTGATGGACCGATCGGCGATCGACTTCCTGACCGACGCATCAGATTCTACAGAAGCTGCAGAAATGGAACCAGAATCAACACAGGAAGCAGCTCCTCAGCGTCCCTCTGTTCAACAGCTGATGGCTTTGAAACTTCAGTGATTTATTCAATTTTTATTATACCTTCATTTCACCAGGGAAGTTAATTCAGAACAGATTCTGGGAGGAGAGGAAGGCCTCCTGTAGCGAACAGGTACATCTAAATAAAACAACATACACAACAGACAGAAGACGCAGGACAACAACAAACCTTATAAACCAGGTACGAAGACACCAAAGGAAGGAATAATGGAAGACATGATAACAAACTAAGACATGTGCTGATGTACAGGGAGGAGATGAAGGTTGATGTTTGTGAACATCATTTATGTCAGCAGGTGCTGGCTGTTCACCCTCTGCAGGAAACAAAGAGAACCTGCAGAGGAACTTTCATCACAAACTGTTTCAACTACACACAAAGGAAACGCCACAATTACTCAACATGCTTCACTGTGTGTGGTCACCTCATCTCAGAGACAGAGACAGGCGGGACTATTTAAAAGCTGCTCATTCTTAAATGTGAGGCGATGCTGCATTGAGGTTACTTATCCTTGTAGCAGTATTAAACCCTCTGAAACACCTTCAGTGTAACTGACGCATGACCTGCAGGGAACTCTGGGTAATAATCAGGCAGGGCTGAGTAATACGATGAAAATGTTATCACGATAGAAACTTTCATATCAAATCAATAATTATCAGGATAAATGTCAGATCTTTATTTCTTTCAGGTCTGATTTCTGCTCCTGAGTGAAAGTTAATGTGGTTTTAAACTTTTCTTTTTGCTCAGAACAAACAGAGGATCACTTCACAGATCTGAGGCCGAACTTTCAGAACTGTTCTGATGAAATTTGTTTCCAACAAATCTGCATGAGGAAAATTAAGTTAATCTTTTTTTCATCAACTATATAAATGTCTTAATAGGAAATGTAACGTTGATTCGTTCATGATTCAAATAAATTAAATCAAATATTTATTGAACTTATGTTTTTTTGTTATTGAAGGAAAATACCTACTAATACTCATTATTGATTTATTACCCGGCTCTAATCAGTAGTAATGAGGACGCGTTTGGTCCAACGCCAGTTTCATTCTTGACTTTAGAAACACGGTCCCAGCTGGAGCTTTCAATCCCATCACACAGTCTTTAATAATATAAATTCAAATCATAATATTTTTTAATTTAGTTTTAATATTTTAACCAGATGAAGGTTTGATCACACTGGGTTAAATAAAACATTAGTTTTTATTAGGTAAAAGCCAATCAGGTGAATCCACTGAGAATCTTATCTGAAATGTCTGATCATTTATTGGGAATTCAAGATTCAAGAGTTTATATTAAGTTTCCCTGTACACTGAATTTCTTACTTTGCTGTCCACATCAAATGCCTACAATAAAGGTAAAATTAAATATCCATCCATCCTCAACCGCTTATCCTGCGTACAGGGCTGGAGCCAATCCCAGCTGACACCCGGCGAAAGGTGGGGACACCCTGGACCCCAATTAACGGGTCTTTGGATGGTGGGAGGACCTGGAGAGAAAGGCCGGGACGACCGGGGGTTTGAACCTTCTTGCTGTGTGGCGACAGTGCTAACCACTGCACCACTACTCCGCCCAAAATTAAATATAGCCTCTGTATAAATAAAAATACAATGAAAAAATATGATAAATAAAGATATAAAATAAGCTTCAAATATAAAAAGTGTAAAAAACGTTTAAAAAATTACATACATGTGCAATTAACATGTCATGGTACAATATGAGAGGATGAGGCTGAAGAGAAGCAGGGGATGGAGAGGAGGACGCGCACAACTATCAATCTGTCCCGTCAAACGCAATCCATGCGACACCCTCCGGCGCAGTAGGTGGCGCTACGCACCTTTACTGCCACGGCTGCTTAAAAGAAGAAGAAGAAGAAGAAGCAGAAGGGTCGATTAGCCGGACTGCTAACTTAAGCCGCTCGTCGTTCGCCTCGTTCTGTCTGAATGTGACTGCGGCTGCGTGGAGCTGCGCGTGGTTTGAGCTGCAGATCGATCCCGTTGATCGGTTTGTGTCCGCTGAGCCTGTGTGACGATGGCGGCGGACTCCGTGAAGCTCTCCAGGAACCTGCTGCGCATGAAGGTGAGCGAAGCTGCCCTGTGTTAGCGCGCTGGAGCTAAGGCCGCGCCAAACCTCGTTCACAAACCAGACAAATATGGGTTTCCTGCTTGTTGAAAGCGAAGAGTCCTGACAAGCGTCGACCTAAAACATTATTATGTAAAGTTTGAACGCATGTCATTAATTCGGCATGTGACTGAGCGACCACATGCCTCTTATATTCAACAAAATCAACTAATAACCCGACTCACACCGTCCACCGCTGTGTGTGTTTGTGGACGTAACGTTAAACTGCCGTAGTCATGTTTTCAGTCAGGTTCTGTAGATGTTGGTTTTGATGAAACACGTGTTTCCACAGTTTATGCAGAGGGGTCTGGATGCTGAGACGAAGAAGCAGCTGGAAGAAGACGAGAAGAGAATAATCAGTGATGAACACTGGTACCTGGACCTGCCAGAGCTCAAAGCCAAAGAGTAAGAGTCAGCCTCAGCACTTTACAGAGGGGCCCTCACCAAACTGCAGCCAGAAGTCTGCTAGATCAGATGATATAAAGTTAATTTGGAAAACTTTATTTAGAGAACAAAATGGTTCACAGGTCACTTCATCTGAAATAAAACCATCAGTAATAAATGAATGAATCTTGTCAACATGAGGAGCTGCAGGGATTCACTGTGTGGGAGGCGTTGATGATGTAATCTGTTTTTGGTGAAAGACATTGGCTAAGAAGTCTTAACGAAAGGTCGAAACGTCTGTGTGGCGTGTAGCGTGCAGCGTAGCGGGATGGTTGTAGGACAGAACGAACCAGAGGCCTGTTTCTGCTGACTTTAATCTTTTTATTAAACCTTTATTTGACGGCCGCTCGGCTCTCTTTACATCTTGTGTTTTCATCTTTCAGGAACTTGATCATCGAGGAGAAGAGTTTCGTTCCCTGTGAAGACCTGAAGTACGGCCGCATATCGTTCAAGGGCTTCAATCCAGAAGTCGAGGTGGGTGTTGAGCCATGTCACTGACCCGTCACACGATTCCTCTGCATGAGCGTTTCTCTCAGGGACCCAGAACATCAGAGAGAATAAAAGTTTCCACAAGAGAAACGCGCACGTCACTGTGTTTAAAACTCAGCCTCTTAGGGAAATGTTTGTTTGTTAATCTGCGATTGCAGCCCTGACCTTTGACCTCCTGGCCGTCTGTACGGCTCTGAGATTTACAAACCGAATCTCTGAGTTCAGCTGTAGAACATCGTGGAATCTGCCAACATGTGGACGCGTTTTATTTAAATCTGGTTTTCCCAGCGTTCTCTCCACGCCGCCGTCCTGCCGAAGAGAGTCGGCGTGCTGACCGGAGCTCGTCACTTCAACAAACTCTGAAAGTATATTCGCAGGACGCCAGCTCGCTGTGCGGGCGGAGTCAAATGCTGCCCCGTTGAGCGCCCGTCAGAGCCGGTGTGTGTGATAGTTTCCTTCCTGTCCTGGGCTGTTAGACCTCCTGAAGCAGCCGCGAGGATGGAGAGGACAAAAAGTCGTCAACATTTGTCTTAAATCTGGAGAAATGTGTCTCCGGGAGGAAGCTGGCAGAGGGAAATAAAAAGCAGGAGGCTTTAGAAGTCTGCTCTGGATGTTAAGAGGAGAAGCGGTGAGGGATTTTTTTTTTTTTAGTATCTCAGGTGAGCACCTTGATCTCTCTTGTGGGTTCTGCTGTGTGTTGAGGCGGATCTGTCAGAGCGCCCTCTGGTGGACAAGCACTCGAGACCCGAATGAAGGATCCGACCAATTAGCACCAGCCTCCAGCACAGTGCTGGTAAAACATGGAGGTGTAGATTTTTAAAAACTAATTAGATTACAAAAAAGCATCGACACGGACATTTATTACCGTCGCACATTGCGCTGTGAACACGACGGGATTATGATGGCACTGTTCGCAAAGTGAAACTGGCGAGGAACGAAGACTAAAGTGTCCAAAGTCTGGGATTATTTCAAGCTAAAGAAAACAACTCGAGTACGTCGATCGATGAAATAATCTGTAGAATCCTCGATCACTAAAATCATCGTTAGCTGCTAGTAGATCTGCTTCACTCTGAACTGTTGAGCTGCAGCGTTCACTGGCCTTTTGGCTGATGCTCAAAACGTTGATTTAAATTGTCATGATGAACAGAGATGAATCTGCAGCGAGCTGATGGAGGCCATCCTGCAGGATTAAAGTGTCTCATGATCAACAACGATGCTCTTATTGTGAAAGTACAACATTTGCATGATATTGATAGATATTCGTCCTCCACATGACTCCACTCTGTCTGCTGACAGCTTGGGTTTGTATCGTGACAGTGATGCATCACCTTGTGAAAGTAGAACACAAGTGTCTCTATCAGTCAGAAACTTTACTTATTGAACGTTGGCCTGTAAATCCACGTCAGACGCTCTCGTCCGGTCGCCTCCTCGTCTCCTGCGATGTCGCTGAAACAAACGTAACCCGTTCCTAAAGATGAAGTTCTAAATGACAAACAGCGGAGATCCGATCTGAAGCAGCGGCGCTGACGTTTCATTGTGTTGCTGGGTCACAGAAACTGATGGCGCTGATGAACCCGAAGGACGAAGAGGAGGAAGGAGAGGAGGAGGAGGAGATCAGCAGGATGCAGACAGACGTGACAGACGAAGAAATGGCTCTGAGGTACGAACTGACGTTCTGTTGAGGTTTCACCTTCAGACCTGTGAGTGAGCAGCTTAGCTGAGTCCATGTTTCCTGCTCGCTGTTGTGTTCAGGATCTAAAACTGTACATGTTGAGAAGCCGCCAGGAGCTCGATGAAGATCACGTGTGCGTTTGTTCTGTTTCAGGTACGAGAGTTTAGTTGGAAGCATGAAGAAGAAGTTTGCAAAGAAGCGCGAGAGAGCGACAATAGAAGAAGACGACGTCAACCACAACGTAGAAACCACAACCAAGAGAGTCTTTCTGAAACCTCAGGACTGACCCCCCCCGGACTTGAGTTTGGACCCCCCAGTGATGGACTGTATTTTTATATGAATGTTTTTATATTTCTTTTTTTACGTCCGCTCAGCTGTGTGGAGTCTCTCGGGGGTTTGAAGAGTTGTTCACGGCTGACTGGATGTTAAACGTCCTGTTTTAAAAGAGTTCTGTTTTTACCGCCTGTGCAGCTTCATTAAAAGCTCGGCTCCGTGTTTTCACGTCTCTGAGGTTCTTTAAACAGCTCTTAGAACAACAGTTCAGCGTTCTGATAAAGACATGTTTCCTCGCCAGGTGGATCTATATGCTAAGCTAACCAGCTGCAGCTGCAGCTTCATTATGAGCCTGCAGGCTTCTGCAGAGGAAATGGATTATTTCAACAAAACGACCTGTGGACGAGGTCATCTTCAAATAATCCACATGAAACAGCTCCACACTGTTGGAAACGGGCCTTCAAACTGGCCCGAATAAACCTTTGTTTCCGTCCTTTTAAATTGAGATGAAAAGGTTTTATGTAAAAACTGAAGACGAGGCAAAATTCTATTATTGCTATTAAATGTTTTTAAAACATGAAAGTCAATTGTTTTCTAACAAGTTGCTTATTAATCAACTGAAACACTTTCTACCATCACCCTCTTCTGGCCTCCAGGGGCCTCATTTATAAACCGTGCGTAGAATCCTCACTAAAAGTGTCCGTGCGGCCAAAAGCCAAAAATGGCGTACGCTAAAAAATATTCAGACTTCTAAAACCGTGCGTACGCACGCCTGTCAGCAAGTTCCCTTTATAAATCACAATCTGTGTGAAATGTGGCCCCTGTGAGGGAGCTCCATGTCCGAGCCTCCAAACGGCCACAGCTTCCTGTAGGCACTCAGTGAAGCTCTTTAATATTAATCCGTCCTGACTGCAGGAAGAAAAGGAGGCAGACT